GAGGTCTGCTCGGCAACCTGGGCGTCTGGACGCCGACCTGGGGGTTCGGAAGGCGTCTTGGGCGCCTGGACGCCGGACTGGGGACGCTGGGCATAGGTGGCCGGCTACGGACTGCACTGATCGACCAGGCGTGGTTGCCCGGTCGACCGGGATACCGGGGCGACGTGCGCGAGTGTCGCCGGGGTGGAGTCTGCGAGGCCGACCTCGGGGGTGGTATCCCGAGGTCGACGTGGCTGGTGGGCGTAGTCGCTGGCGTGGAGTCAGCCAGACGTCTGCGCTGTGCTCGTGACAAGGTGTGGAGCGCCAACCAGCTGCGCGCACCTACGAAGCAGATGCACCGTTGTCCTGCGGGTGCAACGCTGTGCAGCCGACTTGCTGCAGGGTTGGCACACCGTGGACTTGCAACGTTGGCGCATCGCTACTTTGCATCGCTGGAGCGGTGCGAGCGCTGCTGCGCTGGAGCGCGGTCGACCATGCTGCGCTGGAGGTCGACCCGTAGCCTAGCTAGCTCTGATGTAGTCAGTGTTGCCAATGTTGTTGCAATCATTGTTGTCAATCTTTGCTAGTGAAACTCTTGCAAAATCTCCCCGTGAATGCGCAAGCAGAGAACACACAAGCAAACGACTAAGGACCACCGAACGCACAGATCACACGAGCACCTGTGCCTAGTCCATAGCCTAGCTCCCGTTGCTTCAGTTATCTCCGCATGGTGCAGTGAGCGTGGACGACACCGCGACGAAGTTCAGTCTAGCCGACTTTGCACCGATCGTGTTCATAGGCTGGCAGCTGTGCAGTCACTAGCGTGCGCGTAGGCGACGCCGAGGTGATGGAAACTCTGGAGGCACAGCTGGAAGATGCGAGGAGACGCCATGAGGCCCAGGAGTACGGGGCGATACCCTGGGCAGTCGTCGAGGCAGGACTCCGCTCCATGTGGGCGGCGGAGCACCCCCCTTTTCGGCCTGCCTCTCCTCGACCGGTGAACAATGACGGCGGCGTCGACGCGGGCGTCAACGCCGGTGGAGGCCAGGTCGGCAGCAGTGCGGGAGGCACGTCGAGGCAGCAAGGTGTGATACACGCCGGTGAAGCCGGCGGCGTTCAGGCGCGAGGGATGCAGTCGTCGGCGGCTGCAGGCTCCTCGCAGGGCGACGCCGGTGGGCGTCGAAGCAGATTGTCGCCGATGTCGGCGACCCAGGTGACGGCGGGCCGGATTGCACCGAGCTACGGCTACTTCAAGTTCGCGCCGGACAGGATCTTGGTCACCCCGCCGCTTGTTGGTCGACAGGACATTCTCACCTGGAAGAAAGCCATCGAGCCCCAGCTGGAGATGGCCGGGCTGATAGGCTTCGCCCGAGGGACCGTGGCGACGCCGGAGGAGCACCACGCCGACTTGCATGCAGAGTTTCGCGCCGTGCAGCTGTTGACCTTCATGGTCATTTCGCGGTGCTGCTCGCCGGGCGTGCAGATCGCTCTGAAGTGGTGCCGAGAGTACCTCGACGCCGGTCACCGGGCGTGGCACTTCATCGAGTCGACCTACCAAGTCACCGACGACCTGTACATCGCCCAGCTGGAGGGACAGCTGACGCACCTGCGTATGGGCGACGAGGAGACGGCGACCGACTACTGCAACCAAGCCAGGCGAATTCTCACCACCATCAGGATGGCCGGCGCATAGTACTCGACGGCGTCGTACATCACCCACGTCATGCAGGGACTCTCGAGCAGCTACAACCTCCTGAAGCGGCTGTCCATGGCGCCGAGCACGAGGATGACGCTCAACGAGGATAACCTGACCTCGTACATCCTGCAGGACGAGGCGATGCAGGAGGCTGAGCGGTCCCAGGAGCTCTTGGCGCAGGCGAACTTCGTCGCCCCGGCGAAGCAAGGAGGCCGACCAGGGCAGCGTGGGCAGTCTGGCGGAGGGAGTAGCAGTGGTCGGAAGCCGAGCAAGGACGCCGACAAGAAGAAGTCGGCTAAGGATAGCGGTCGTGGAGGAGGAGGCCGCCGCCGGGAATGCTGGCTGTGCGGCGACCCCGACCACCTCTCCTTCGAGTGCCCCGACCGCAGTGACTCCGAAGACGACGACACCAAGGGAGGTCGTGGGAGGTCTAGCAGTCGTCGTCCTTGTCGAGGAGGAAACCAGCCGCGCAAGGAGAAGCCGTCGACCAAGACGTCGACTTCGGCGAAGGACGCTGACTCCTCTGCAGGCGGCAAGGCGCGGGACGACAAGACGGCGTCGTGCTCGCTGGTCGGCGTCGTGGAGCCGACCGCCTCGCTGGCGCCGGAGGCGGGAGAGGACTTCCAGGCGGTGGCGGCAGCTGTGCAGGCGAACCCGGCGGTGGTCCTGCTCGACAGCGGTTGCTCGCACCACCTGATGGGAACAACGGAGGCCTTCGTCAACATGGGGCCGAGCGGCGACGTGAAGCACGTACGCGGCTTCAATGGGGCGCTGCAGGACATTCAGGGCCGTGGCACTGTCGCTCTGCAAGGGGAGGCCGGGAAGCAGGTGCTCATCCCCGACGTGCTGTATGTACCCGGCGTCCGGGCAAACCTGCTTTCAGCCGGCCAGCTGAAGGAGCACGGCGTGAAGCTGCAGGAGGACGGCGACGGGATGCTGCTCGTCTCGGTAGCGGGGGAGGTGCTCAGTCGGGCGACGTACACCGGGCGTGTCCTCTGCACCGACCTGCGCCCCTGCCCGGCCAAGTCGACAACGCCCACCTCGGAGGTAGTGGCCCTGCGAGCGATCGTCTCGGCGACGACGGCAACGCCGGACAGGATGCACGCAAGGCTTGCGCACGTCGGCATGGACACCATCAGGAGCTCGGCGAAGCACGAGGTCGCCACCGGGCTGGACCTCAAGTCGGCGCCCGGCGCCGACTCCCCGTGTGTTTCGTGTGTCAGCGGGAAGCTGGCGCGACATACCTTCCCTGACAAGGGCTCCGACGCCGACGACGTGCTGGCCGTTGTGCACATCGACCTGTGCGGGCCGTTCCGCGTGGCTGCCAAGGATGGCAGCCTGTACTTCTTGGACCGCAAGACCCGCTACGTGTGGGTGAGGCCGATCGCCAAGAAGTCGGATGCGCTGCAGGTGTTCGTGCAGTGGCTGGCGGTGGCTGAGCGGCAGACCAAGAAGTCGGTGTTGATGCTGCGCTCTGACCGGGGAGGGGAGTTCCTCAGGAAGCAGTTCACCGACTTCGTGAACGGCAAGGGCATTGTCCATAACCTGACCTGCCCATACACTCCGCAGCAGAACGGCATGGCAGAGCGGGAGATGCGCACAGTGGTGGAATCGGTGCGTACAATGCTGCTGCACATGGGCGTGCAGCACCACTGGTGGCACCTAGCTCTGCGGCAGGCCGTCTGGGTCCGCAACTGCCTTGAGAGGTCGGCGCTGCCGTCGGGGACGACGCCGTACCAGCTGCTCACCGGGAAGAAGCCCGACTTGTCGCTGGCACGGGTGTGGGGCTGCATGGCGCAGTTCTTGGTCCCCGAGCAGCAGCGTGGTGGGAAGCTGCAGCCGAAGGCCCGGTGGGGCCTTCACCTCGGCGTGTCGGAGGAGAGCAAGGGCTGGGAGCTCCTCGACATCGCCGACAACCGGGTGGTCACCACGTCGGACGTGGTGTTCTACGAGAGCATGTCGCTGGAGGTGTGGAAGTCGGCGCACGGGCCGGCGTCAGGGCGACTGCCGGTTCACCCGCCAACGGTCACCTCGGCAGCGACGCTGCCTCTGCTCGCTGAGGTCGGTGGGCTTGCTGGTGCGGACACCGAGGAAGTCCCCGATCCTTGCCCTTCCCCTGCCCCTCCCCTCCTTGCCGCCTTGCATGGGCTGACCCCGTCGTCGGCCTCCGGTGATGAGGGGAGCCGTGGGGCGTCACCTGTGGCGCCGGCCCCAAGCATCGCCGGTGGCCGACGTGATGCTGTGCAAGTCGGCGTGGGGGCAAAGCTGACACCGACCAAGGTGCAGTCGACTTTGGTGAAGCCGGTGACAGGGGAGCAGGCAGCAACGACGCCGACCAAGGAGCAGTCGGCAACCGGGCAGTCGGCAGGGGAGCCGACCACAGGGGAGAAGTCGGTTGGGACGCCGACCACAGGGGAGAAGTCGGCTGGGACGCCGACCATTACCATTAGCATTACCATTACGGCGCCGACTACGACGAGACGTTCGCGCCGGTGGGCAGCTACGTCACGCTGAGGATCTTCCTCAGCATCGTCGCCGTGCTCAACCTCAACCTGATGCAGCTCGACATGAAGAACGCCTTCCTGCAGAGCAAGCTCGATCGGGTGCTCTACATGTCACAGCCGGACTACTTCAACGACGGAACCGGCCGGGTGTGCAAGCTGCTGAAGAGCCTGTACGGGCTGAAGCAGTCGCCGCTGTTGTGGTACTTGGCGCTCAACGATGTGCTGGTCGGCGCCGGGTGGAAGAAGAGCCAGGTCGACGAGGCTCTGTACTTCAAGGTCGGCGACGACGGAGTGGCCTGCTGGGTGCTGGTCTACGTCGACGACTTGCTTGCTGCCAGCAGCAACCCCGCGATGCTGAAGGAGCTGAAGGAGCTGCTGGAGGCCGCCTTCGAGCTGCGTGAGATCTCGCCGGTGCAGAAGTACCTCGGGCTGGAGATCGTGCGCGACAGGTCGGCGGGGAAGCTGTGGCTGCACCAGCAGGGCTACGCCGACAAGCTGCGTAGACGCTTCATCGACGAGGAGCAGACCGGGCGCACCCCGAAGACGCCGGCCTCGGTCGACGCCTACGCCGAGCTCACCTTCGACGACGAGGAGGCGCAGGAACGCCAGGAGGAGTACCGGCAGAAGGTCGGCTCGCTGCAGTTCGCGGCGACGACGACGAGGCCGGACATCGCCTTCGCCTGCAGCAAGCTGGGGAGCGGCCTCACGGTGAGGAGTGACCAGCACTGGCGCGAGGTCGACCGTTGCCTCGCCTACCTCGCCACCACGCGTGACACCGCCCTGGAGTTCGGGGTGATGGAAAGAGGGAGAATGGGGCGGGGTTATGGAAAGCGGGAGAATGGAGCAGGGTGATGGAAAGAGGGAGAATGGGGCGGGGTGATGGAAAGAGGGAGAATGGGGTGGGGTGATGGAAAGCGGGAGAATGGGGCGGGGTGATGGAAAGCGGGAGAATAGGGCGAGGTGATGGAAAGCGGAAGAATTGGGCGGGGTACTGGAAAGCGGGAGAATGGGGCGGGGTGATTGAAAGTGGGAGAATGGGGCGGGGTTATGGAAAGAGGGAGAATGGGGCGGGGTGATGGAAAGCGGGAGAATGGGGCGGGGTGATTGAAAGCGGGAGAATGGGGTGGGTGATGGAAAGCGGGAGAATGGGGCGGGGTGATGGAAAGAGGGCGAATGGGGCGAGGTGATGGAAAGCGGGAGAATGGGGCTGGGTTTTGGAAAGAGGGAGAATGGGGTGGGGTGATGGAAAGCGGGAGAATGGGGCGGGTGATGGAAAGCGGGAGAATGGAATGGGGTGATGGAAAGAGGGTGAATGGGGCAGGGTGATGGAAAGCGGGAGAATGTGGCGGGGTGATGGAAAGCGGGAGAATGGGGCGGGGTGATGGAAAGCGGGAGAATCGGGCGGGGTGATGGAAAGCAGAGAAATGGGGCGGGGTGCTGGAAAGCGGGAGAATGGGGCGGGGTGATGGAAAGCGGGAGAATGGGGCGGGGTGCTGGAAAGCGGGAGAATAGGGCGGGGTGATGGAAAGCGGGAGAATGGGGCGGGGTGCTGGAAAGCGGGAGAATGGGGCGGGGTGATGGAAAGCGGGAGAATGGGGCGGGGTGCTGGAAAGCGGGAGAATGGGGCGGGGTGATGGAAAGCAAGAGAATGGGGCGGGTGATGGAAAGCGGGAGAATGGGGCGGGGTGATGGAAAGCGGGAGAATGGGGCGGGGTGCTGGAAAGCCGGAGAAGGGGGCGGGGTGATGGAAAGCGGGAGAATCGGGCGGGGTGATGGAAAGAGGGGGAATGGAAAAGGGTGATGGAAAGAGGGAGAATGGGGCGGGGTGATGGAAAGAGGGAGAATGGGGCGGGGTGATGGAAACCGGGAGAATGGGGCGGGGTGATGGAAAGCGGGAGAATCGGGCGGGTGATGGAAAGCGGGAGAGTGGGGCGGGGTAATGGAAAGAGGGAGAATGGGGCGGGGTGATGGAAAGAGGGAGAATGGGGCGGGGTGATGGAAAGAGGAAGAATAGGGCGGGGTGATGGAAAGCGGGAGAATGGGGCGGGGTGATGGAAAGAGGGAGAATGGGGCGGGGTGATGGAAAGAGGGAGAATGGGGCGGGGTGATGGAAAGAGGGAGAATGGGGCAGGGTGATGGAAAGCGGGAGAATGGGGCGGGTGATGGAAAGCGGGAGAATGGGGCGGGGTGATGGAAAGAGTTAGAATGGGGCGGGGTTATGGAAAGCGGGAGAATGGGGCAGGGTGATGGAAAGAGGGAGAATGGAGCGGGGTGATGGAAAGCGGGAGAATGGGGCGGGGTGATGGAAAGCGGGAGAATGGGGCGGGGTGATTGAAAGCGGGAGAATGGGGTGGGTGATGGAAAGCGGGAGAATGGGGCGGGGTGATGGAAAGAGGGCGAATGGGGCGAGGTGATGGAAAGCGGGAGAATGGGGCTGGGTTATGGAAAGAGGGAGAATGGGGTGGGGTGATGGAAAGCGGGAGAATGGGGCGGGTGATGGAAAGCGGGAGAATGGAATGGGGTGATGGAAAGAGGGTGAATGGGGCAGGGTGATGGAAAGCGGGAGAATGTGGCGGGGTGATGGAAAGCGGGAGAATGGGGCGGGGTGATGGAAAGCGGGAGAATCGGGCGGGGTGATGGAAAGCAGAGAAATGGGGCGGGGTGCTGGAAAGCGGGAGAATGGGGCGGGGTGATGGAAAGCGGGAGAATGGGGCGGGGTGCTGGAAAGCGGGAGAATAGGGCGGGGTGATGGAAAGCGGGAGAATGGGGCGGGGTGCTGGAAAGCGGGAGAATGGGGCGGGGTGATGGAAAGCGGGAGAATGGGGCGGGGTGCTGGAAAGCGGGAGAATGGGGCGGGGTGATGGAAAGCAAGAGAATGGGGCGGGTGATGGAAAGCGGGAGAATGGGGCGGGGTGATGGAAAGACGGAGAATGGGGCGGGGTGATGGAAAGCGGGAGAATGGGGCGGGGTGCTGGAAAGCCGGAGAAGGGGGCGGGGTGATGGAAAGCGGGAGAATCGGGCGGGGTGATGGAAAGAGGGGGAATGGAAAAGGGTGATGGAAAGAGGGAGAATGGGGCGGGGTGATGGAAAGAGGGAGAATGGGGCGGGGTGATGGAAACCGGGAGAATGGGGCGGGGTGATGGAAAGCGGGAGAATCGGGCGGGTGATGGAAAGCGGGAGAGTGGGGCGGGGTAATGGAAAGAGGGAGAATGGGGCGGGGTGATGGAAAGAGGGAGAATGGGGCGGGGTGATGGAAAGAGGGAGAATAGGGCGGGGTGATGGAAAGCGGGAGAATGGGGCGGGGTGATGGAAAGAGGGAGAATGGGGCGGGGTGATGGAAAGAGGGAGAATGGGGCGGGGTGATGGAAAGAGGGAGAATGGGGCAGGGTGATGGAAAGCGGGAGAATGGGGCGGGTGATGGAAAGCGGGAGAATGGGGCGGGGTGATGGAAAGAGTTAGAATGGGGCGGGGTTATGGAAAGCGGGAGAATGGGGCAGGGTGATGGAAAGAGGGAGAATGGAGCGGGGTGATGGAAAGCGGGAGAATGGGGCGGGGTGATGGAAAGCGGGAGAATGGGGCGGGGTGATTGAAAGCGGGAGAATGGGGTGGGTGATGGAAAGCGGGAGAATGGGGCGGGGTGATGGAAAGAGGGCGAATGGGGCGAGGTGATGGAAAGCGGGAGAATGGGGCTGGGTTATGGAAAGAGGGAGAATGGGGTGGGGTGATGGAAAGCGGGAGAATGGGGCGGGTGATGGAAAGCGGGAGAATGGAATGGGGTGATGGAAAGAGGGTGAATGGGGCAGGGTGATGGAAAGCGGGAGAATGTGGCGGGGTGATGGAAAGCGGGAGAATGGGGCGGGGTGATGGAAAGCGGGAGAATCGGGCGGGGTGATGGAAAGCGGGAGAATGGGGCGGGGTGCTGGAAAGCGGGAGAATGGGGCGGGGTGATGGAAAGCGGGAGAATGGGGCGGGGTGCTGGAAAGCGGGAGAATAGGGCGGGGTGATGGAAAGCGGGAGAATGGGGCGGGGTGATGGAAAGCGGGAGAATGGGGCGGGGTGCTGGAAAGCGGGAGAATGGGGCGGGGTGATGGAAAGCAGGAGAATGGGGCAGGGTGATGGAAAGAGGGAGAATGGAGCGGGGTGATGGAAAGCGGGAGAATGGGGCGGGGTGATGGAAAGCGGGAGAATGGGGCGGGGTGATTGAAAGCGGGAGAATGGGGTGGGTGATGGAAAGCGGGAGAATGGGGCGGGGTGATGGAAAGAGGGCGAATGGGGCGAGGTGATGGAAAGCGGGAGAATGGGGCTGGGTTATGGAAAGAGGGAGAATGGGGTGGGGTGATGGAAAGCGGGAGAATGGGGCGGGTGATGGAAAGCGGGAGAATGGAATGGGGTGATGGAAAGAGGGTGAATGGGGCAGGGTGATGGAAAGCGGGAGAATGTGGCGGGGTGATGGAAAGCGGGAGAATGGGGCGGGGTGATGGAAAGCGGGAGAATCGGGCGGGGTGATGGAAAGCGGGAGAATGGGGCGGGGTGCTGGAAAGCGGGAGAATGGGGCGGGGTGATGGAAAGCGGGAGAATGGGGCGGGGTGCTGGAAAGCGGGAGAATAGGGCGGGGTGATGGAAAGCGGGAGAATGGGGCGGGGTGCTGGAAAGCGGGAGAATGGGGCGGGGTGATGGAAAGCGGGAGAATGGGGCGGGGTGCTGGAAAGCGGGAGAATGGGGCGGGGTGATGGAAAGCAAGAGAATGGGGCGGGTGATGGAAAGCGGGAGAATGGGGCGGGGTGATGGAAAGACGGAGAATGGGGCGGGGTGATGGAAAGCGGGAGAATGGGGCTGGGTGCTGGAAAGCCGGAGAAGGGGGCGGGGTGATGGAAAGCGGGAGAATCGGGCGGGGTGATGGAAAGAGGGGGAATGGAAAAGGGTGATGGAAAGAGGGAGAATGGGGCGGGGTGATGGAAAGAGGGAGAATGGGGCGGGGTGATGGAAACTGGGAGAATGGGGCGGGGTGATGGAATGTGGGAGAATGGTGCGGGTGATGGAAAGCGGGAGAATGGGGCGGGGTTATGGAAAGAGGGAGAATGGGGCGGGGTGATGTAAAGCGGGAGAATGGGGCGGGGTGATGGAAAGCGGGAGAATCGGGCGGGGTTCTGGAAAGCGGGAGAATGGGGTGGGGTGCTGGAAAGCGGGAGAATGGGGCGGGGTGATGGAAAGAGGGAGAATGGGGCGGGGTGATGGAAAGCGGGAGAATGGGGCGGGGTGATGGAAAGCGGGAGAATGGGGCGGGGTGATGGAAAGCGGGAGAATGGGGCGGGGTTATGAAAAGAGGGAGAATGGGGCGGGGTGATGGAAAGAGGGAGAATGGGGCGGGGTGATGGAAAGCGGGAGAATCGGGCGGGGTGATGGAAACCGGGGGAATGGAAAAGGGTGATGGAAAGAGGGAGAATGGGGCGGGGTGATGGAAACCGGGAGAATGGGGCGGGGTGATGGAATGTGGGAGAATGGTGCGGGTGATTGTAAGCGGGAGAATGGGGCGGGGTTATGGAAAGAAGGAGAATGGGGCGGGGTGATGTAAAGCGGGAGAATGGGGCGGGGTGATGGAAAGCGGGAGAATGGGGCGGGGTGCTGGAAAGCGGGAGAATGGGGCGGGGTGATGGAAAGCGGGAGAATGGGGCGGGGTGTTGGAAAGCGGGAGAATGGGGTGGGGTGATGGAAAGCGGGAGAATGGGGCGGGGTGCTGGAAAGCGGGAGAATGGGGCGGGGTGATGGAAAGCAAGAGAATGGTGGGGGTGATGGAAAGCAGGAGAATGGGGCGGGGTGATGGAAAGAGGGAGAATGGGGCGAGGTGATGGAAAGCGAGAGAATGGGCGGGGTGCTGGAAAGGGGAGAATGGGGCGGGGTGATGGAAAGTGGGAGAATGGGGCGGGGTGATGGAAAGCGGGAGAATGGGGCGGGGTGATGGAAAGCGGGAGAATGGGGCGGGGTGATGGAAAGCGGGAGAATGGGGCAGGGTGCTGGAAAGCCGGAGAAGGGGGCGGGGTGATGGAAAGCGGGAGAATGGGGCAGGGTGATGGAAAGAGGGAGAATGGGGCGGGGTGATGGAAAGATGGAGAATGGGGCGGGGTGATGGAAAGCGGGAGAATGGGGCGGGGTGATTGAAAGCAAGAGAATGGGGCGGGTGATGGAAAGCGGGAAAATGGGGCGGGGTGATGGAAAGAGGGAGAATGGGGCGGGGTGATGGAAAGCGGGAGAATGGGCGGGGTGCTGGAAAGGGGAGAATGGGGCGGGGTGATGGAAAGCGGGAGAATGGGGCGGGGTGATGGAAAGCGGGAGAATGGGGCGGGGTGATAGAAAGCGGGAGAATGGGGCGGGGTGCTGGAAAGCCGGAGAAGGGGGCGGGGTGATGGAAAGCGGGAGAATGGGGCAGGGTGATGGAAAGAGGGAGAATGGGGCGGGGTGATGGAAAGAGGGAGAATGGGGCGGGGTGATGGAAAGAGGGAGAATGGGGCGGGGTGATGGAAAGCGGGAGAATGGGGCGGGGTGATTGAAAGCGGGAGAATGGGGTGGGTGATGGAAAGCGGGAGAATGGGGCGGGGTGATGGAAAGAGGGAGAATGGGGCGAGGTGATGGAAAGCGGGAGAATGGGGCTGGGTTATGGAAAGAGGGAGAATGGGGTGGGGTGATGGAAAGTGGGAGAATGGGGCGGGTGATGGAAAGCGGGAGAATGGAACGGGGTGATGGAAAGAGGGTGAATGGGGCAGGGTGATGGAAAGCGGGAGAATGGGGCGGGGTGATGGAAAGCGGGAAAATGGGGCGGGGTGATGGAAAGCGGGAGAATGGGGCGGGGTGCTGGAAAGCGGGAGAATGGGGCGGGGTGATGGAAAGCGGGAGAATGGGGCGGGGTGATGGAAAGCGGGAGAATGGGCGGGGTGCTGGAAAGGGGAGAATGGGGCGGGGTGATGGAAAGGGGGAGAATGGGGCGGGGTGATGGAAAGCGGGAGAATGGGGCGGGGTGATAGAAAGCGGGAGAATGGGGCGGGGTGCTGGAAATCCGGAGAAGGGAGTGGGGTGATGGAAAGCGGGAGAATGGGGCAGGGTGATGGAAAGAGGGAGAATGGGGCGGGGTGATGGAAAGAGGGAGAATGGGGCGGGGTGATGGAAAGAGGGAGAATGGGGCGGGGTGATGGAAAGCGGGAGAATGGGGCGGGGTGATTGAAAGCGGGAGAATGGGGTGGGTGATGGAAAGCGGGAGAACGGGGCGGGGTGATGGAAAGAGGGAGAATGGGGCGAGGTGATGGAAAGCGGGAGAATGGGGCTGGGTTATGGAAAGAGGGAGAATGGGGTGGGGTGATGGAAAGTGGGAGAATGGGGCAGGTGATGGAAAGCGGGAGAATGGAACGGGGTGATGGAAAGAGGGTGAATGGGGCAGGGTGATGGAAAGCGGGAGAATGGGGCGGGGTGATGGAAAGCGGGAAAATGGGGCGGGGTGATGGAAAGCGGGAGAATGGGGCGGGGTTATGGAAAGAGGGAGAATGGGGCGGGGTGATGGAAAGAGGGAGAATGGGGCGGGGTGATGGAAAGAGGGAGAATGGGGCGGGGTGATGGAAAGCGGGAGAATCGGGCGGGGTGATGGAAAGAGGGAGAATGGGGCTGGGTTATGGAAAGAGGGAGAATGGGGTGGGGTGATGGAAAGTGGGAGAATGGGGCGGGTGATGGAAAGCGGGAGAATGGAACAGGGTGATGGAAAGAGGGTGAATGGGGCAGGGTGATGGAAAGCGGGAGAATGGGGCGGGGTGATGGAAAGCGGGAGAATGGGGCGGGGTGATGAAATGCGGGAGAATCGGGCGGGGTGATGGAAAGCGGGAGAATGGGGCGGGGTGCTGGAAAGCGGGAGAATGGGGCGGGGTGATGGAAAGCGGGAGAATGGGGCCGGGTGATGGAAAGCGGGAGAATGGGGCGGGGTGATGGAAAGCGAGAGAATGGGGCGGGGTGCAGGAAATCGGGAGAATGGGGCGGGGTGATGGAAAGCGGGAGAATGGGGCGGGGTGCTGGAGGGCGAGAGAATGGGGCGGGGTGTAGGAAAGCGGGAGAATGGGGCGGGGTGATGGAAAGCGGGAGAATGGGGCGGGGTGCTGGAGAGCGGGAGAATGGGGCGGGGTGATGGAAAGAGGGAGAATGGGGCGGGGTGATGGAAAGCGGGAGAATGGGGCGGGGTGATGGAAAGAGGGAGAATGGGGCGGGGTGATGGAAAGAGGAAGAATGGGGCGGGGTGATGGAAAGCGGGAGAATGGGGCGGGGTGATGGAAAGAGGGAGAATGGGGCGGGGTGATGGAAAGAGGGTGAATGGGGCAGGGTGATGGAAAGCGGGAGAATGGGGCGGTGTGATGGAAAGCGGGAGAATGGGGCGGGGTGATGGAAAGCGGGAGAATCGGGCGGGGTGATGGAAAGCGGGAGAATGGGGCGGGGTGCTGGAAAGAGGGAGAATGGGGCGGGGTGATGGAAAGCGGGAGACTGGGGCGGGGTGATGGAAAGCGGGAGAATAGGGCGGGGTGATGGAAAGCGGGAGAATGGGGCGGGGTGATGGAAAGCGGGAGAATGGGGCGGGGTGATGGAAAGAGGCAGAATGGGGCGGGGTGATGGAAAGAGGGAGAATGGGGCGGGGTGATGGAAAGAGGGAGAATGGGGGGGTGATGGAAAGCGGGAGAATGGGGCGGGGTGATGGAAAGCGGGAGAATGGGGCGGGTGATGGAAAGCGGGAGAATGGGGCGGGGTGATGGAAAGCGAGAGAATGGGGCGGGGTGCAGGAAAGCGGGAGAATGGGGCGGGGTGATGGAAAGCGGGAGAATGGGGCGGGGTGCTCGAAAGCGAGAGAATGGGACGGGGTGCAGGAAAGCGGGAGAATGGGGCGGGGTGATGGAAAGCGGGAGAATGGGGCGGGGTGCTGGAAAGCGGGAGAATGGGGCGGGGTGATGGAAAGAGGGAGAATGGGGCGGGGTGATGGAAAGCGGGAGAATGGGGCGGGGTGGTGAAAAGTGGGAGAATGGGGCGGGGTGATGGAAAGTGGGAGAATGGGGCGGGTTGATGGACAACGGGAGAATGGGGCAGGGTTATGGAAAGAGGGAGAATGGGGCGGGGTGATGGAAAGAGGGAGAATGGGGCGGGGGGATGGAAAGAGGGAGAATGGGGCGGGGTGATGGAGAGAGGGAGAATGGGGCGGGGTGATGGAAAGAGGGAGAATGGGGCGGGGTGATGGAAAGAGGGGGAATGGGGCGGGGTGATGGAAAGAGGGAGAATGGGGCGGGTTGATGGACAACGGGAGAATGGGGCGGGGTTATGGAAAGAGGGAGAATGGGGCAGGGTGATGGAAAGCGGGAGAATGGGGCGGGGTGATGGAAAGCGGGAGAATGGGGCGGGTTGATGGAAAGCGGGAGAATGGGGAGGGGTGATGGAAAGCGAGAGAATGGGGCGGGGTGATGGAAAGCGGGAGAATCGGGCGGGGTGATGGAAAGCAGGAGAATGGGGGCGGGGTGCTGGAAAGCGGGAGAATGGGGGGGGGGGGTGATGGAAAGCGGGAGAATGGGGCGCGATGCTGGAAGGCAGGAGAATGGGGCGGGGTGATGGAAAGCGGGAGAATGGGGCGGGGTGATGAAAAGCATTACCATTAGCGTTACCATTACCATTAGCATTACCATTAGCATAACCATAACCATTATCATTACCATTAACATTAGCGTTACCATTACCATTAGCATAACCATTAGCATTACCATTAGCATTACCATTAGCATTAACATTAGCATTACCATTACCATTACTATTACCATAAGCATTAACATCAGCATTACGATTACCATTACCATTACCATTACCATTAGCATTAGCATTACCATTACCATTACCATTAGCATTACGATTACCATTACCATTACCATTACCATTAGCATTACCATTACCATTACCATTAGCATTAACATTAGCGTTACCATTACCATTAGCATTACCATTACCATTACCATTAGCATTAACATTAGCATTAGCATTACCATTACCATTACGATTACCATTACCATTACCATTACCATTAGCATTACCATTACCAATACCAATACCATTACCATTACCATTACCATTACCAATACCATTACCATTACGATTACCATTACCATTACCATTGGCACTACCATCACCATAACCATTAGCATTACCATTACCATTAGCATAAACATAACCATTACCATTACCATTACCATTACCATTAGCATTACCATTACCGTTACCATTACCATTAGCATTAGCATTAGCATTACCATTTAGCATTACCATTACCATTAACATTAGCATTAGCATTAGCATTACCATTACCTACCATTACCATTAACCATTACCATTACCATTACAATTACCATTACCATTGGCATTACCATTTCCATTACCATTACTATTATCATTACCATTACCATTACCAATACCAGTTCCATTACCATTACCATTACCATTACCAATACCATTAGCATTACCATTACCATTGGCATTACCAATAGCATAACCATTAGCATTACCATTACCATTAGCATAAACATAACCATTACCATTACCATTACCATTACCATTAGCATTACCATTACCATTACCGTTACCATTAGCATTAGCATAAGCATTGGCATTACCATTAGCATTACCATTACTATTAACATTAGCATTACCATTACCATTACCTACCATTACCATTACCATTATCATTATCATTACTATTACCATTATCATTAGTATTACCATTACCATTACCATTGGCATTACAATTACCATTACCATTACCATTACCATTACCATTACCATTACCATTACCATTACCATTACCTTTACCATTATCTTTACCATTAGCATTACCATTACCATTACCTACCATTACCATTACCATTACCATTAGTATTACCATTACCATTACCATTACCATTGGCATTACCATTACCATTACCATTACCATTACCAATACCAATACCATTACCATTACCAATAACATTACCATTACGATTACCATTGGCATTACCAATAGGATAACCATTAGCATTACTATTACCATCAGCATAAACATAACCATTACCATTACCATTACCATTACCATTACCGTTACCATTAGCATTAGCATTAGCATTGGCATTACCATTAGCATTACCATTACCATTAACATTAGCATTACCATTACCATTACCATTACCATTACCATTAGTATTACCATTACCATTACCATTGGCATTACAATTAGCATTAGCATTACCATTACCATTACCATTACCTTTACCATTACCATTACCATTAGCATTACCATAACCATTACCATTACCATTATCTTTACCATTAGCATTACTATTTCCATTACAAGTACCATTACGATTACCATTACCATTACCATTACCATTAGTATTAGCATTAGCATTACCATTACCATTACCATTAGCATAACCATAACCATTACCATTACCATTACCATTAGCATTACCATTAGCATTTCCATTACCATTACCATTACCATTAGCATTACCATTAGCATTTCCATTATCATTACCATTACCATTACCATTATCATTACCATGACCATTACCATTACGATTACCATTACCATTGCCATTGGCATTACCATTACCATAACCATTAGCATTACCATTACCATTAGCATAAACATAACCAATACCATTACCATTGGTATTACCATTACCATTACCGTTACCATTACCATTAGCATTAGCATTACCATTAGCATTACCATTACCATTACCATTAGCATTACCATTACCATTACCATTAGCATGACCATTACCATTCCCATTACCATTCTATTAGCATTTCCATTACCATTACCAATACCATTACCTTTACCATTACCATTATCATTACCATGACCATTACCATTACGATTACCATTACCATTGCCATTGGCATTACCATTACCATAACCATTAGCATTACCATTACCATTAGCATAAACATAATCATTACCATTACCATTTGCATTACCATTACCATTACCGTTACCATTACCATTAGCATTAGCATTAGAATTACCATTATTATTAGCATTACCATTCTATTTAACATTAGCATTACCATTACCATTTCCATTACCATTAGCATTTCCATTAGCATTACCATTACCATTAGCATTACCATTACCATAACCATTAGCATTGCCATTACCATTACCATTACCATTACCTTTACCATTAGCATTTCCATTACCATTACCATTGCCATTACCATTACCATTACCGTTACCATTACCATTAGCATTAGCATTAGAATTACCATTATTATTACCATTACCATTACCATTAGCATTACCATTACCTTTACCATTAGCATTTCCATTAGCATTACCATTACCATTACGATTACCATTACCATTAGCATTACCATTACCATTACCATTACCATTAGCATTACCATTACCATTAGCATTACCATTACCATTACCACTACCATTACCATTACCATTACCATTACCAGTACCATTACCATTACCATTACTATTAGCAATACCATTACCATTACCATTAGTATTACCATTACCATTAATATTAGCATTACCATTACCATTACTATTACCATTGTTATTACCATTAGCATTACCATTACCACTACCATTACCATTACCATTAGCATTGTTATACCATTAGCATTACCATTATCATTAGCATTACCATTACCATTAGCATTACCATTACCATTACCATTAGCATTACCGTTTCCATTACCATTACCATTAGCATTACCATTACCATTAACATTAGCATTACCATTACCATTACTATTACCATTGTTATTACCATTAGCATTACCATTACCACTACCATTACCATTACCATTTGCATTACCATTACCATTACCATTAGCATTACCATTATCATTAGCAATACCATTACCATTACCATTACCATTAGCATTACCATTACCATTAGAATTTCCGTTACCATTACCATTACCATTGTTATTGCCATTACCATTATCATTACCATTACCATTACCATTTTCATTACCATTAGCATTACCATTAGTATTACCATTTTCATTACCATTCGCATTACCATTATCATTGCCATTGCCATTACCATTACCATTACCATTACCATTACCATTACCATTAACATTAGCATTACCATTACCATCACCATTAGCATTACCATTACCATTACCATTAGCATTTGTCGTCGAGAACGGCCGGAAGGGCTCCACTAGGTGCATTCGAACATGGGCCACTCGAATACGCACTAACGTGCAGGTCGGTGAATGCTTTTCCCCGCGCCTATAGGGACTCGTGCGCTTCCGGAGCATTTGTCGGCGAGAACGGCCGAAATCGTAGGCGCCGAACTTTTCTCGGCGCAAGAACCGACCCGGAAGGGCTCCACTAGGTGCATTCGAACATGGGCCACTCGAATACGCACTAACGCGCAGGTCGGTGAATGCTTTTGCCTGGGCCTACAGGGACTCGTGCGCTTCCGGAGCATTTGTCGGCGAGAACGGCCCAAATCGTAGGCGCCGAACTTTTCTCGGCGCAAGAACCGACCCGGAAGGGCTCCACTAGGTGCACTCGAACATGGGCCACTCGAATACGCACTAACGCGCAGGTCGGTGAATGCTTTTTCCTGCGCCTATAGGGACTCGTGCGCTTCCGGAGCATTTATCGGCGAGAACGGCCGAAATCGTAGGCGCCGAACTTTTCTCGGCGCAAGAACCGACCCGGAAGGGCTCCACTAGGTGCATTCGAACATGTGCCACTCGAATACGCACTAACGTGCAGGTCGGTGAATGGATTTCCCCGCGCCTATAGGGACTCATGCGCTTCCTGGGCATTTGTCGGCGAGAACGGCCGAAATCGTAGGCGCCGAACTTTTCTCGGCGCAAGAACCGACCCGGAAGGGCTCCACTAGGTGCATTCGAACATGGGCCACTCGAATACGCACTAACATGCAGGTCGGTGAATGCTTTTCCCCGCGCCTATAGGGACTCATGCGCTTCCTGGGCATTTGTCGGCGAGAACGGCCGAAATCGTAGGCGCCGAACTTTTCTCGGCGCAAGAACCGACCCGGAAGGGCTCCACTAGGTGCATTCGAACATGGGCCACTCGAATACGCACTAACATGCAGGTCGGTGAATGCTTTTCCCCGCGCCTATAGGGACTCATGCGCTTCCTGGGCATTTGTCGGCGAGAACGGCCGAAATCGTAGGCGCCGAACTTTTCTCGGCGCAAGAACCGACCCGGAAGGGCTCCACTAGGTGCATTCGAACATGGGCCACTCGAATACGCACTAACATGCAGGTCGGTGAATGCTTTTCCCCGCGCCTATAGGGACTCATGCACTTACTGAGCATTTGTCGGCGAGAACGGCCGAAATCGTAGGTGCCGAACTTTTCTCGGCGCAAGAACCGACCCGGAAGGGCTCCACTAGGTGCATTCGAACATGGGCCACTCGAATACGCACTAACATGCAGGTCGGTGAATGCTTTTCCCCGCGCCTATAGGGACTCATGCACTTACTGAACATTTGTCGGCGAGAACGGCCGAAATCGTTGGCGCCGAACTTTTCTCGGCGCAAGAACCAACCCGGAAGGGCTCCACTATGTGCATTCGAACATGGGCCACTCGAATACGCACTATCATGCAGGTCGGTAAATGCTTTTCCCTGTGCGTATAGGGACTCATGCGCTTCCGGAGCATTTGCCGGCGAGAACGGCTGAAATCGTAGGCGCCGAA